ACACACACACACACACACACACACACACACACACACAATTTAAAATGCTTAAATCTTTTTTAAAAGAAAATGGAATAGGGAATAGTAGAGGTATAAGTAGAGGTGGTAATTCATAGACCAGAGATCTGCCAACAAAAGCTCATATTTATATCCTCCCGCCCTTCCTCCATCCCTCCTCACTTCCTCCTCTCCTCCCTCTCCTTCCTCTTCTCTCCCTCCCTGACTTCGCGTCTGTCTGCTCCTCCTCACTCCACGTAGATGCCTACGGTTAGGGCCCCAGCTTCTAAAATGTCTTCACTTGCTTCTCATCCTGGTCTATACACCCATCTCTCTTTTCTTCTCTTCTCATCCAAATTTCTGAGAGAAAATTTACCACTGTCTTCCCTGTTCCTTCATCTTGCCTTCTTTTTGTTTTTATTTTTTCTCTTTCCTAGTATTAGAGATCAGACCCAAGGTCTTTCAGTCACATGCTAGGGAAGACCCCGCCACTGTCCTACATCACCTTGATCCCCCACATCTGTTTTATTTTGAAACAAGATCTTCCCAATCATCCAGGCTGACTTTCAATTTATAATCTTCCAGCCTTGGCCTCATGAGTTGTTAGAATACAAGTGTGCACCAATACCTCCCTCCTTGTTTGCTAATCTGGATCCATTAAGTTTCTCTACTACCACCTGCCCAAGACCTCTGCTGGCTCACCTTACAGGAGCTCTCAGGGACATTTCACCTGCTAACCACTTCCCTGTTGAAATCACAGTTCCACAGGTTCCCACAATGTTCCCTTTATTCAGGCTTCCTCCTCCTACAGTGGCTCTTTCTCCCGCTCCATGGCATAGCCCACTTCCAATCCAGTCTTAAACGCTGAGATGTTTTCCAGGCTTCTCTACATTAAGCCCTCCTCTCTTCTACATCACGAAGGCCTAGGTCGCCACCGCTGTGACATCAACTGCAGGATCATGGCCTTCTACTGCATCTCTTCCGAGAACTGAGAAGGAGCTAACCCCTGAACACCTCTTGTCAATACCCCAGTCACCTCAAACTAAACTCATCGAAGAGATAATGTTCCTCCCAAATTCTGCCCTTCTTCATTCTGTCTTCTGCCCCCATGACAGAGCACCTGATTCCCCAAATATACTAGAAACAAGGATGTTGTTCTTTATTTCTCCATCCTAGGTCCTTCATCTACCCAGAGCCAATCAATGTCCTGTTGACCCTTCCCTCTGAGAGTACTATCTTCCCAATAAACTCAAACCACCACCCCACCTTCCCTCATGGCTTTCAGACTCTCCTGAACATATCACACACATCAGAATGAATTGAAATGCAAAGCCTGGTCATACAGCACCCTTCAATGGCTCCGTCACTGTTCCCAGAGACCCCTCCATGACCCAGTAAAGCCGGCTCATCCCTGACTCACACCTCCCTTCTGGTGATACCACATTGCTCGCTCTTCTGGTGATGCCTTCTGTCTAGCACTTTGGCTGTCTCCTTGCTTCTGCACAGATAGCTCCTATTAATGCTTCAAGTATGAGTCACATCCAATCTGAGTCCCCAGATAGGCCTTCCTGGTGGAGACCATCTCCCTGGACAAGTAGAGTAACTTTATCTCCATACTGGATTGTAATATATGTCAGCTGCCTCCCGGAAGGTGAACTTCCACAGAACAGTGGTCTGGTCCTATTTATCTTCATAGCTTGAAAGGCAAGCTGAGCTGCTGGTGTGGAGTGGCTTTTCAATGGATACTTCTTAAACTCGAGTACACTGAAGTCATGGTCACAGAGTGTGAGCCCCTCTCAAAGTACAGGGAGGGAGATAATTATTACCTTTGCTGAGTCCTTCAACTCTGCAGGGCCAGGTGTTTTGTGAGTATTTTTTGACTTAATCTCATTTAATCCTCTTAACCATTCTAAGAGCTGGGATTAATATCCTCAATGTATAGATGAGGAAACCAAGTTCACTGCTACCCAGTGAGTGAGTGTGATTTTATAGTATTTTTCATAGTAAAGTGGTTTCAAGATAAGTTTATCCAGAGCAGTTCACAGCAGGCCCATGGGTTTAAGGAGGTGGACCTGGTGGTAATTCATAGACCAGAGATCTGCCAACAAAAGCTCATATTTATATCCTCCCGCCCTTCCTCCATCCCTCCTCACTTCCTCCTCTCCTCCCTCTCCTTCCTCTTCTCTCCCTCCCTGTCTCTCTCTGCCCAGTCTCTGTCTTACAACAGCATCCCTCCCTCTTTCCTTCCCTCCCTCCCTCATCTCTGATCACCATCTTCCTGTTCCCGAGCCCCTCTAGCTAACACCACCAGGACTCAGGGAGAGGGGCTCACAGATCAGCAGTCCTCCCTACCAGAGCTGAAACTGGGGTGACAATGACAGCACTAGCTGTGGCTCAAAATCCTGCTTCAGCTCAGACACCGCTTGCAATCCTGCCAGTGTCCCAGTGCTGGGCATTAGGAGAACAATAGAGAAAGTAGACTCCAGACTGACCTAGGACCTTCTAGAACCTCCTGACTCTGTGAGCTCATCTTCTAGAAGAATATGCTTCACTCACAGAACTTTGACGACATCATCTGCGCCCTTCAGTTTCAAGGTTCAGGAGCATTTTAGAGGCATCTATTTCTCCGTTTTGTTTTGTTTTGTTTTGTTTTGTTTTGTTTTGTTTTCAGTCAGGGTCTTATGTAGTTCAGTCTAACCTCAAATTTACTATCAGCCAAGGATGACTTTTGACTTGTGACCTTTTTGTCCCTACTTCCTAAATGCTGGGATTACGGGTGTATGTCACCATGCCAGTTTTATGTCATGCTTGGGGGTGAAACCCAGATGAAGTAGGTAAACACTACAACAACTGTGCTACCTCCCCTACCCATGTTAGAAAAATACAATTACAACCCTTCCTGGCTGCCTCTGCCTCCCCCCCCTCTCTCCACACACACACACACACACACACACACACACACACACACACACACACACGTGCACACACGGAGTACTCCGGGTAACTCATCCCACCCCTGAACTCCCTTCAAAAAAAAAAAATTCTTCCCTGGCTGGGTATAGTGGTGCACACCTTTAATCCCAGCATTTAGGAGGAAGAAGCAGGTGATCTCTGTGAGTTCAAGGCCACCCTGGTCTGTTTAGTGAATTCCAGGACAGTCAGAGTGAGATCCTGTCTGGGAAAAAAAAAATTTTTTAATTTCTTCCTTAATATTGAGCCACAAATTACCACCCTCCTCTATCTAGATGACAACTGCTCAGTGTACCCAGGCCCAGGGCCAAAGTTACACTATTGTTCCTAGAGCCTGAGGAGTAGAGAAGTGAAACAAAACAGCTTGTGACACCCACCCATGGGAGCACCTGCCCGCAGGACACCAACAAACACTGCTTCTATAGCCCAGGGCTGCAGCCTGAGCTCCTACACAAGCAGCAGTGCCACCAGATGAGCCCTGGAGAAAATAGCTTAAGACTTCTCTTTCCTCAATCCCAAGTGTCGGTGATAATCCCTGCCTAGCATGGAATTAGGAAAGCTTAATGAGTGTTTATAAAGGGCTTAGGACTCAGGGCTAAGTAGCTCAGTAGACACTAGCAATCACCATCAAGAGTACAGCAAAGTCCCAAGTGTGTCTATTTGTACTGTTTATCTCATCTTTCTGGCCCAGCCCAGACCACACGTGTTAGCACTGAACTTGTCCCATCACTATTGCCAGTGGTTTTTTTTGTTTTGTTTTGTTTTGTTTTGCACTTTATGTGTGTGGGTGTTTTGCCGCCACGTATGTTTGTACACCACATGTATGAAGTGCTCACAAAGGCCAGAAGAAGGTGTTGGATCTCCTGGAGGGGAGTTACAGTTGTGAGCTGCCCTATGGGTGCTAGGAATGGAACCCTGGTCCTCTGGATGAGCAGCCAGCGCTCTTAAGCATTGAGCCACCTCCCCAGCCCCACCAGTGTTTTTTTTTAAATTATAATAGATGAGAGATAGATGCCTAGACACATAGACAAACAGATACATATTTCAAAATAAATACAGTAGCCAAGTTGTAATGACAAATTAAGTTTACTTAGTTT